CCTCCCAGTGGCACAGCGGTATTTCTGCGGACTTACAACGCTAGAATCCGGATTTCGATACCCGTGTTGGGCAGAGCACAGATAGCCCATTGTGTATCTTTGTGCATAATTACAAACATTCACATTGTTACTAGCCCTGACGATGGTATCTATGTTACCGAAACTAGTGGGCTGAAATTTTCAATAAATATTTTTTCTTTCGTTGTGCCAAAAAACATCGTTTTTGTTTTTCTTTCTTAACAAGAAAAGATTATGTCTTTTTCATCAACACTTAAAAAGTATTACTTATTAAAGATTCTCTCTGTTATTGTTGTAACTGGAAATATATATATATATATATATATATAATCATAACTGTAACCAGTTCATCTGGAAAATCCGTCGATTCATGTAACAGGTAACTGAAATATATCTTTGAATTTATGTCCACTGCAGCGATAAATGTCTCTTTTTACCAAATATCTTCTGAGAAATCTCGTGTAGTAATAAAAATACTGTTCCTTTATGAAATCCTAGAGATAAGAGAAACGTCCTTCTCGTGACGAAAACATGCACTAAAAATTAATACGACTACAGTCATAAACTCAGATATCTTCACTAAAATATTTTGCGCAAAATTTATGAGCACTCGTTCCAAAAATGTTCCTATTATGGCAAATGTTCACAAAACATTCTGTTGAATTTATGAATATAATGCTTATATCATGATATTATAAACAAATATTATATTCTTTAGGAAATTAGATTCATATATATATATATCCATGAAAAATATGTCTTTTTCGTAAATAAATCATCTCGCGAAAATTCCGTCCAATTTAGGAATATCATTCAATTATTACCTCAATGATAATTTTGATGACAATTAGATAATCGTTCAACAATATATTTACATATGTCTCTGAATGGAGCGATAACGAGAACACTTCTCGGGTAAAAAAATTATATCTCCTGCCAGAAACAGCAAAAAAAATAATTCGAACATTCTTCTCAATGCGACACCAGTTATGCTTCTCTCATGACATCGGATAAGAAAAAATTCTGCGTAACATAACAACAGATAAAACATTCTTATAGATAAAACATTCCTGAAAATCAATTACACTGTGATGACAATTAGTCACCCTGTCAAGTCAGGCCCATTTCTTTTATTTTATTGATTAGAAAACAGATATAATACCATCAAACCAACAAAAGAAAAACAGACTTCATCTTAAAACCAGACACATTCCTTAAAGTTTATTACATCGGATAACAGATTGGCCCCTTTCATTATAGCCTCCCCCCCCACCCACCCCCCAAAAAATATATATATATATATATTTATAAACATCTTATCGACAATAAAACAGTTACCATTCTTAAGTAAGTAATTTCCTGTAAATTCCTTTAATTGTAATGGTATCTTATATACTTTTTATTATGATATTAACTGGAGGTTTGATTAACGTAGTAAGATATTTTTTTGAGTGTAAACGTTTCTCGTAATTGGTATGAAGTAGAGTGATAGGTAGGTCCCAATCTGAAATTTGTACTACCAACAACAAAAATAAGCCTATTTTATAACTAAAACACATACTGGAATATGTACTTTTTTTATAACAGTTAGTTCCTTCTCATGCTCTGAACATTATCTAAATTTATGTCGATTATGATAGGAAATAGGTCTTCCCCGTCTTCAAATTCACCAAAATAATTGACTGAAGAATATATCATAAATTCTATTAAAAATAATAACAGCCAGGAGTACATAATTTTCAACGAACACTTGAAAATATATTTACAATATAAAAGATAAGATCATTGAACTGAACCATCCCTTGAATACCAGCTGTGCTGAGATATTTCCTCAGCTTCTCTTTCACAAACAAATAGATTAAAAACAAAATTTGTATTTAATTCAAAACTAGAGATGAATAGAAAAGAAATACACGTAACCACTACATTTACATATAACTTAGAGACTTCTTGTTTTGATAAAAAGAACAAAAACGAATATTAAAACAAAGTGAAATGTCGAAAACACTCTGGATTATGTTATGTAGCAAAGACCTATACAAAGCTTGTTTCTAGGATGCTTCTCGTTATGAATTCAAGGTAAATAATCATTACCAGGAATGTTATACATAAAAAGTAAGTGGGAGCTATGTATATCTATAGGGCATTTCGAAACAAGATAAAAAAAACACTTAAAAAGTGAGTGGGAGCTATGTATATCTATAGGGCATTTCGAAACAACGTAAAAAACACTTCAAAGTATAAAATCATCTTACACATATACCGAGTACAAAGTATACGATAATAATCGAACAATATCAGCTCTCTTTAGAGCTATCAAACAACTATAAATTCATACTGAAATTACCCTGATTACTCTTATATCTAATGTACAAACTAAGGATCTTTAGTAATTAGAAGAGTTGTTTCATATTACACTCATTCATATATAAAAATTGGCAAGAAGACGACGACAAACGTCGAAGGTTTCATTGTTCATTCTTCCCGTGACTAGCTCATTCATATTTTTCAGTGATGCATGTAAACACACACACTATACAATATATAATAAAAGCAGGTTTTAGTCAATAAAGCAGTTTGAGATCTTTTTCAATATTAAACTGGGTGATAGATTTATTTTTTTATTTATTTTTTGCCTTAAGAATCAACATCTAGTAGCATTAGACTGTTTCTACGTCAACCTTCACTCTTTGGCCAAACTGGAATTTTCTTTACATATTTTACTTGATCAGTGCACTAACCGCATCATGTAACCATGGCCATAGTTTATCCGAGTTAGGTAACAACAGTGTCTGTTTTATCGAAAAGCTGGTGATAACTCTTACCCATAAAGGATGTAAATGTCTAAAGAACTGTATAAGATATTTACAAATGGCGTGCATTATTTCTTTTTATTATAGGACGTTTGGATTGAATAAACACATA